AGAAGGAAGCACAAGCACTGTTCTCCTCTGCCCCTGTGAGCTCTCTGCTGGCAGCACAGCTGCTTTAGCAACAACTGCAATTTTTTTTATAACCCAGCTTTTATTTTAACAACTTTTGCACTTAAAAAAAAAAAAAAACAAAAAACAAAAAAACCAAAACCCAACTGCTATTTTTCAAGTGATTCCAGCAGCAAAGGGAGCAGATGCTGAATGGAATCACACGTGCAAGGAGTGTGTGTGTCCTGCGTTTGCAGTTTCCAGCGTGCTGCCATTATCCTTGAGCATTCTCCGTGTGAAAGATGAGGAGAGTGCAATCACCACGGCCTGTTTCGGTTGAATCAGCAAGGAGGAGTTTCAGAGCTGGCTCTCCACGAATAATCCCCTTCTCCCAAGCAGCTGTCTTCTGCAGAATGAAAGTGCAGACATCTACAGTATTACCCTGTGCCTGTTTGCAGAGTCTGCTGTTATCACGTTAATGAAGGGAGCTGAGATAATCACCTTAAAGCATAAATAAATCTCGGATGCTGATTCACTTTCTCCTATTTGAGTCTCATTTACCAGGGTAATACTTATTTTTTTGCCACTGCAGGCTTGTTGTGTCTGCCAAGACAGCTTTTTTTTTTTCACAATTCATCTCCAGAGGACTTGAATTAAGAGGCCTCTTGTCTTGTTGCAGTTATTTCTTCTCATTTTGCAGCCATATGAAGTCCTGGATCCAAGGCCAGGCCAGGCAATTTTATCAAATCTGCAGCATCAGCCAATGCTGGGTGGGTCACTAACGCATAAAAACAAACACACACTTTTAAAGGATAATTTCTCTCAGTCTTAGACAGGTGACAGGAGATACCTTTTCCCTATGTCACTGACAGGTGTGTAAAATTTAAATTCATGGCCTAACACTCAGTTATGGGACAGGGATCCCACAGGAAATGAATGGCATGGCAGATGTTGTGAAGTTTCACAATATTCTGTGTTTCCTTCAAGCCCCTGGAATCAGGTGAATCTGCATCTCACTTATTTATCCCTCAGTAAACTCTCATCTGGCATTTATGCTTGCAGGGGAAAAAAAAATAATCTCAGCATGTGACTAAATTTGGATGTTCATCAGCTCAAAATGAAGACTATCAACCAGTTCCCATCACAATTTTATTTTTTCCCCTAAGTTCCCATGGCTTTTTCCCAAGCCTGACTAATGATACCAGAACATCTGGTGCTGGCCAGGCTTCTCTCAGGAGCTTTGGCTCCTGTGTGTGTGCCAGCAGCTCACTGGCATCCCCCAGCCCCTCGCTCCTGCATCCCGGGATGCCTTGGGAAGGCTGACTAGAACAGAGGCTGGATGGAGTTAAAGAATAAAGCGGGGATTTATTAAAAGGCCTCCATGGATGCACCTTGGGCAGCACAAGAGCCCAGCCAGGGCTGCACCCAGGATGGACCAAAATGGTCACAAAATGCATGAGCGCTCACAGGGCCTCTCACTTTTATAAGCTCTGCTCCATTTGCAGATTGCGGTTAATTGTTCAATTAAAGCTTTAGGTTATGAAGTCCCATCCTGCTTGTTATCTTCTCTTCATTCCAGGTTGTTTCTGCTCTTGGGCCTGAAATTTGGATCATTTGTCCTTGGTCCCCAGCTGGAGAAGGAATTGTTTTGTCTCCCTGCTCAGTGAAGAGAGCTTACTACCCCTAATATGAAGCTCAGACCTACACACTAAAGCAGTAAGGAATCTGAAAATAGAAAAGCTAAAACCTGAGGCACCACAGGGACGCCCCAATGCCACCAGGCGCTGGGACAAGGCTGTCACAGCCCCATGGCAGGCCACCAGGACTGGCACAGCTGGGACAGCTGGGCAGTGAGCTGGAGGAGCAGGCGTGGAGATGAAGCCTCGTGCTGGGAACGAGAACTTTGGGAAGGGCAGAGAGTCCGGGAATGGGGAAAGGCACCCACGCTGCGATGGGGAAATGCGACCAGGAGCTTTGCAATGGGAAAAACGAGAGTCATAGGCTGTGTCTGGTCCTGGTACGTTACCCTGAGTGTACATGGCAAGGTTTGGATAGTGGCTTTTGGGAGAAGCTGCTGGAAGTTTTCCCGGATCTCATGGAGCCAATTCCAGCCGGCTCCATCCCCGGAACTCCCCTCACGGAACCAGCCGTGGTACAGTCCTGTCCCCCCCGCGCCAGCTCTGCGTGGTACGGCCGAGACTGCGCCCCCCACTGGGCAGCAGTGGTGTGCTCCCTTCCTCCCCCGCCCGCGGTGGTGGTGCGCTCCGCGCATGCGCAGTGCCGCGAGCGGAGCTCAGCTGGGCAGTGTTTACAGCCCGAGCGCGCCGGCCTGGGCTGAGCGGAGCGGAGTCGAGCGGAGTCGAACGGAGCCGAGCCGAGCCGAGGCGGGACGAACCTAACGGAGCCGAGGCGAGCCAAACGGAGCCGAACCATCCGTTGAGGTACCGCTTTTGTCTGAAATCACGGAATAACCTCCCTTTTCCCACTCCTGCTGCCGTGCCGGGGCAGGGGCTGCCCTGGAGACCTGCCGGGAGTGAGCGGGCGCGTTTTGGTGCCTGGAGCATTGTTTGGAGCCCTGCCCGAGGGGTGCTGCTGTGCCTGCGCAGGGGCCGCGGGTTCCCGTGCTGTGCTCCAGGCGTCGGGCCGGGCGCTGGGCTCGCCTTCGGGCTTGTTTTCGTCTGAGGGGAACATGGCAGCGAGGGGATGTTTCAACACGCAGAGCCACCTTCGATGGCTCTGTTTTGCCCCTTTGCTGTCTCTGTTCTACCCCTTTGCTGTCTCTGTTCTACCCCTTTGCTGTCTCTGTTCTACCCCTTTGCTGTCTCTGTTCTACCCCTTTGCTGTCTCTGTTCTACCCCTTTGCTGTCTCTGTTCTACCCCTTTGCTGTCTCTGTTCTACCCCTTTGCTGTCTCTGTTCTACCCCTTTGCTGTCTCTGTTCTACCCCTTTGCTGTCTCTGTTCTACCCCTTTGCTGTCTCTGTTTTGCCACCTTTGCTGGCTCTGTTTTGCCATCTTTGCTGTCTCTGTTTTACCCCTTTGCTGTCTCTGTTTTGCCCCTTTGCTGGCTCTGTTTTGCCCCTCTGCTGTCTCTGTTTTGCCCCTCTTCTGTCTCTGTTTTGCCCCTCTTCTGTCTCTGTTTTGCCCCTTTGCTGTCTCTGTTTTGCCCCTTTGCTGTCTCTGTTTTGTCACCTTTGCTGTCTCTGTTTTGCCCCTTTGCTGGCTCTGTTTTGGGCAGCTGTCCGGATTTGTGCCTGTGGACTTTGTCCCTGCTCATATTTGGGGAAATCTCTGCTTTGCCTTAGAAGCGTGGAAAAGGGGTTTGCTGCGGAGGGAGAGAGTTTTGTTTAGAAAAGTGTAATAAAAATAAGCCCTACTGGGTTCCCATTTCCCACCAAGTGAAGCGAAGGTGTGGAATCACATGAAGAGAGGAGTTTGAATGTCAGAGTTTGAAGTTGTGCCTATAAAACATGCATTCTGCTGGAAGTATTAATGTCCAGGGAAAGTGATGATTTCAGAAGTGACTGACACCTGTCACAGGGCGGATATTCCCTGCTCCCATTATGAAAATGTCTCAGCCAGCTGTGTCTGTTGTTGTTTTCCATGGTGTAGAACATGGAAGAGTGCTTGTTGTCCATGGAGCTGAGCTGAAACCAGGTCAGACCAGTTGTCCCAGTGGGGCTTGCGTACATCAGCAGGAATTTGTTTGGGATCCAAAGTGGAGCACTGTTAAAGGCACAACTTCTTGCTTTAAATCTAAAAATGTAGAATTTTTTTTTTTAATAGCAAACAGAGTGGAAGAATGAAGGAATCCTAAGAACAAAAATATATAAAAGAAAGTCAAGGGAATCAAGACCCTTGGTGAAGAGAGTATTTTAATGTGGAATGTTAAATAAAAGACTAAAGATACAGGCAGCCTTGTGTTGCAAATGCAGTGAGGTTTTGTGGATGTAAGAGGAGGGGGAAAAAATAATTGTACATTAACCCACCTGGACCTTTGACTTGATGTGTTCCCACTGTGAAGTAATAAAACAGAGTCATTTTTTTGTAGAGAAAATGAAGGAGTAACTGTGGAAAGGGGAGGGGTGACGTTTTATTTCAAGTGTTATTAATGGCCTTGAACTGGATTGATGTGTTTGAGACATGAATGGATTAAGAACTGGCTCGAGTTCCCTGCTTAAGTATATCTTGTTTTGTGTGCCTCTACAGGTGATCAGATTGGTGTGTTATTTGAACAACTGTGAAATCTCCTTGGAGCCTTGTAGCTTTGCTTTGTTTCCTCAGAAAATGAAAGTTTATAATTTGCTGGCTGAATGTAACAAATAAACCCCAACAATTTTGCTGTAGGCAGATCTTCTGATCCCAGGAATGAACTCCAAAGCTGCTGCTTCATGGTTATTACTGTGAGCAGGGAAAGGCATTGTAAACAAACACATCTTAAATCATGTTGTACTTTCTGGAAAGGGTTTTTCTTTTTTTTTTTCCTTAATATATGAGAAGGGGAAAAGAAGCCAGGTTAATTTTGAGTGGTTTTGTTCCCCTGTACATGTTCCTTTAAAACCTGTAGGCTGCAGTGGGAATTCTCTCTGGAGCTGCTGTCTGTGTCATTAAGTGCTTTACTAATGGTGGTGGCTCAGGCTCTGCAGATGAGCTGTGTGAAAGTGCATTTGCTAAAGTGCATTTACCAAAGTAAGCAAGGTTGACAGGTCAGAGTTTTGTTGGGTTTTTTGAGCCTCTGTGCAGTCAACAATCCTGATGCACATTCAAAGGAAATGCAGTTTGAGATTTTTCTGGATTTTCTGCCTGTGTCTTGGTCTCGTCAGGTGCTGTTAGAGGTGGAAAGTCTGTGTGTGACAGGAGCTCTGACAGACAGCCCAAACCTGCCCTGTTGTTCGGGCTTGCAGTGAAAAATGACCCCTAAGCACCAGAGCTGGAATAATCCTTTCTATAAAAGGGTTCAGTGGAAAAGCTGATGTGCTGGTAAAACACTGGGAGGGTTTGAAGACAGGCCTTGCACACTGAAATTGCCTATTGTGATTTTTTTTTCCCCCCCACTAGTGTCAGGTACTGGATGCCAGATCTGCTACATTTTGTTTTCCATTGTTGGGATGGAGACAGGAGCGCTGGGGTGAGGTTTTTCTGGCCCTTGGAGTAGGTAAAGATCTCTCTCAAAGCACTCCATGTACAGCAGCATAATTTAGTGTTGGAGTGCATGTTCTGTATCTCACCTTGCTTTACTGTTATTTCCCTTTCAGTGTTTATAGGAGGCTGCTGAAGATGGGAGGCGCGGTGAGCGCGGGAGAAGACAACGACGAATTAATTGATAACCTGAAGGAGGCCCAGTACATCAGGACAGAGCTGGTGGAACAGGCATTCCGAGCCATTGATCGGGCAGATTACTACCTGGAAGAGTTCAAAGACAATGCCTACAAGGATTTGGCATGGAAGCATGGAAATATTCATCTCTCAGCACCATGCATTTACTCAGAGGTGATGGAAGCTTTGGACCTGCAACCTGGGCTGTCATTTCTGAACCTTGGCAGTGGCACTGGTTATCTGAGTTCCATGGTTGGACTCATCCTGGGTAAATACCTCTTCAGTCACATTAACTGATTGTGTTAGAGCTTTAAAAACAGGTTTTGAAATCGGGGATGAGGTATTCCTCCACTAATGGAGCTAAAAAGGTAGCTGGGAAAGTAAAGAATGCATTAATGCAGCTCGGTGATTTATCAGGATTCTCACAGCCCTCTCTGGAACTGGATGGGATCCAGATTTCTGTGGCAGATCAGAACAGGCAGCAATGTAGTTCCAAAGGTGGCTGTAGTGGATTCCTGCAGGTCTGGACACAAACCTGGGTTTGTTTCCCCTTAAGCAAGACCCCAGGTCAGGATCAGGAGTACAGAGTTGAAACTGGGACTGAGCAAGTCCACAAAAAGCTGTGACTGTATCTTCTCCCTGCCTGGTTTGTGTTCACAGCCCTGTCTGAGATCCACTTTTGACTCTTAACTCTTAACACAGGTGGGAATATTCTCTGGAAGACACTTCAGTGCAGCAGAATTGATTCTATGACCACATCTACAGTGGCACAAAGCAAATCATCCAAGTGGAATTGGACAATTTAAATTCTCCCTGCAGTGTTTCAGTCAGAGTTGTGCTGCCAGGATAGATAGCAAGTGGCTATAGGGTAAAATTTGAGAGAATGTCCAGAATTTTAACTGCTGGGATGTTTATTCTCAGGGTGAAGTCTCATTTCCCATATGTGATTTTCTCCTAGGTTGGTTGACATTACTTAGAATACCAATATGTAACTCCAGGGCTTTTATTTTCTTTTTGCAAAAGTTACCGTGTCAGTTCTGAACAAAAAGCATGAGTGCTGAAAAGCTTTTGTTTTTTCCAGTTTGTTTTTACTGTTAATTGAGGTACAGTGTATGATGACTGTTCCTGATTAATTGCAGAGATTTTTAGCATAAAAATAACATGGATGTGCTAAAACATGCAGGCCATTGGGATTTTTTTCCAGGTGGTCACTTTCACAGCAATGGCATCAATGTTTCCCTCCTATAGAGAAGTTTCCTGCATAGTTAATAGCAAATGATTCAGAATCCATTGTGCACAAGAGGCTCAATTGCTGCCAGAAATTGCAGGTATAGGGTTGCAAATCCCATTGTGGCAGTGAGAGAGCTGACCCCACACAAACACCGACTGTGACACTCATGGAACAATCTGGTGGAGGGAGGAACCCAAAGTGTGTTAATCCTGCTGGATTTGGTGTTGTTGCTGTTGCCATTCCCTGGTGTTCTGCACTTGCAGGTCCTTTTGGGGTGAACCACGGTGTGGAGCTTCACTCCGACGTGATCGAGTACGCGAAGCAGAAATTGGACTTTTTCATTAAAACAAGCGACAGCTTTGACAAGTAAGAATTCAAAATGCCTGTTGGGATTAATTTTGTGCTTTTGGCTTTACTCAGGGCAGTTCTTGCTCCCATGTGGCCCCTCTGGATTCAGGGTAATCTGAGGATTCAGGCTCCTTAGGCTTGCTGAGCTGCAGTGTGTGACCTTCGAAGCCTGAGTGTGTCGTGGGGGTTTCAGAAATGTTTGCAGAGTTTTTAATAGCAATGCTGATGCTGCACGGTGTAGAGGGAGCTGAGGAAGTTTGTTTATTTTTAAATGCACTTGCAGTAACACCTTAAAACTTGCAACTAGCAACACTTGGTTGTGCCTGTGATCTGAGAGCCTGCATAGTGATGAGATTATGAACTGGTTTTTGTAGTGGCCTAATATGTTTTATCTGAGAAGAAGGAAAAATGGCATTTTAAAATATGAAGGTAGTTTTATGATGATTAAGTTGGTACTAAAACTGCCTGGGATTTGATTTATGTTCTTCCTTAGACCCTCCATTCTGCTGCTGTCGCAAGTAATAACTTCCCAGCTAGATAACCATTGCCAATAGTAACCTCAGCAATAAAAGTTGTGGCTGTCACATTTTTGGATCTGTTTCATAGTTTGTTCAAACAGAGAAGCAAAGCATCTGTGAATACCTGATACCTTCCTCTCCTGGTGGGAAGAAAATAAAAATCATGGCATACAGAATTTTAGGCTGCTCAGTCTTTTGCTGTTCCTGCTGCCCTGGGAAGCTGCTGAGGAGAGGGTTGTATTTTCTGCGTGTTGGCAGAAGACTGAAAGTTTCTGGTGCTCAACGGGGATTTTTTCAGTCATGTTGCTGTTGTTTGAGAGATGTTTTAAGGAAGACTTTCTTCTCTCTCCAAATACAGCTATGGAGCAAAGGCAAGCTGAATTCAGAAATTAACATGCCTGGAAAATTGGCTTTGCTGAGTGATGTCTGCTGGGTTGTGCTCCTGGAACAGCATGTGCAGGAACTGTTCTCTGGCTGCTCTGAATGTCCAGCCTTCATTGCAAACCCAGAAAGCTCCAGGAAGCATTAGGAATAAATAGGTGCTATGTTGAGCTGCCACTCAAGATACCAGTAAAAGAATGGATGTGTTGAACAACTTCTACCAAAATCAGCCCTTAAACATAGGGCTTAAAACTTAGGGAGTTTTGGAGCTTGTAAAAAAAGCAGAGGCATCAGAGAATCGCTCATTTTTCTTTTAAACCAAGTCAGAAATACTGTAGGCAAAAAGTCTTTTTTATGAAGGGTGAAATCACAGTTCTTTTGAAGCTGATGGCAAAACTTCCATTGGCTTCAGCACAGCATACTTCTGTATCATCAGGTGGTAATTCCTCACATCTGAAAACCAGTTACAAGCTTTTGAAAATGCAAAAATAAACCCAGGTGCAGGCCTTAAAAGACTTTGACATTTGGAAGCGCAGGTCTAGTATTTGTATTTGCATTTTATAACTGAGTCAGCATCAGGTGACTAAAAATAGCTCGTTCTGAAGAGTTACCTGCAGCTCAAATATGAAATTATGCATCCTTATCCTTTGGAGATTTTAATCCATGAATTCTGACCTCATTTTTCTGTGGTTTTGAGACTTCTAGCTGTAGTCTGTTACAATAATGTCTAGAATACATGGGCTTTGGAGGAGAAATCCTGTAAAACTGTGGGCGTTTTTCAGGTGTTTTCCATAGTTCAATTTTTCCAGAATTATGAAAATAATTTAGTTTGATAAATCATTGCATTCTTGTCTAATAAAAGTCTTTTTCACTTTCAGGTTTGAATTTTGTGAGCCATCCTTTGTCATTGGCAATTGTTTGGAGATTTCTCCAGACTGTACTCAGTATGACCGTGTTTACTGTGGTGCTGGAGTCCAGAAGGAGCACGAGGACTACATGAAGAACCTGTTGAAAGTTGGGGGAATTCTTGTCATGCCTCTAGAAGAGAAGGTTGAGTGCCTTTTTTTTCATATTTCAGTTATTCTTAATTCTGATCATGGTTTAGTCAGTAGCTGTTCTTTTATCTTGCCCTTGTAGCAGGCTGAAGAAAGAATTAAGTGCAGTGGTTTTCACTGTGACTGAAAACTGAACTCTGCACATTTAAGAAATTTGTAGTTTTGCAGTCTTCCATATATTACAGTCTGTTGTTAATTGCAATTTTACTTCCTCACTGCAGAAAATGTGAGCAAAGCTTTGTTTAATGATATAATTTAGTGTTGTGCTTAGTGGCAAAACACAACTTTTTGCTCCCTGACTGGCTCTTGAAAGAGTGTTTACAAGAGTATTTACAAGTGTCAGTGGATTCTTTTAGTAAAAAGTGGGTCAAGTGCCTGACCTTTTACCACTGTCAGGGAACGTGAGAGGAGCAGGTGCAGGGTTTCTTCCCAGTAAGAGGCTGTGCAGTGGGTTGAGGTAGGAGATTTCATCTGTGACCTTTTCAGGAGCAAGTGTTCGTGGTGACTCGGGAATTTTCCCAGAGGTCAGACACAGCTGCTCTGTCCAGTCTGCAGGAAGGTCTGGGCAAGCAGAGTGACCCAAATTACCAGTGCCCATGCTCTGTTGCAGTAGATGAAGTTCCTTGGGGCTAGTCCTGCAAGGAGTTCCCCATTTTTTTTCAAAAAACCAGTGTTGTTTCTCATCACCTTTTACTGTTGCAGCTTCCAGTACTTCAACTTGTCCAGGCAGAAAAGTCATTTGTTCATTTTTTTGCTCTAAACTCTCACTGTAGTTCCCACAATGGACAATAATCTTCTTGTTTTGCTTCAGTTGACTAAGATAACTCGGACTGGTCCTTCTGCCTGGGAGACCAAGAAGATTCTTGCTGTTTCCTTTGCTCCTTTGATTCAGCCAAACCACACAGATTCAGGAAAATCAAGGCTTGTTCACTTGCGTGAGTACTGACATTCCTGAGCTTGGGGGAATTCCTTCCTGCTGCCTAGCTGTGATCTGTAACATCCCTGGGAATCCTTTCCAGGAAAATTACTCCAAGTCCTTCCTTTTTTTTTGAACAGCTGTCTGTCTTGTGCAAGCATTGGAGTTGAATGAAATAGATTCTAAATCACAGACTCACAGAATGGCCTAGGTTGGAAGGGACCCAAAGATCATCTAATTCCAGTATCCCTGCTGTGGGCTGGGACCCCTTCCACTGGACCCTTCCACTGGGCCATCATTCTAAACACAAATGATTTCTTTTGAAGTTGCACCTGAACTTTTCAGGGTGTTTTATCCCTGTTTTTGCACATTCTGTTCCAGTCCTGAATGACTGAATCCCATCATGGTTCTGAGGCACTGTGCCACAAGGAGAGGGAAATAAACAAGCAGTCCCTGTGAGCAAATGTTGTATCTACTCAGAGTCTCACGCCCAGCAATCCAGAATTATACTGAACCTGGAATGCTTGAGGGATACAAGTTGTGCATTTCTTGGTTGGCTGTTTGAAATGCAGGTCGTATCAGTGGCCCCAATCTTTAGATTAAGACTTCAGTGTCAAGAGGCCTCTTAAGAACACGTGAAGACAGAGGTACTTTCATAAAGAGATTAGTCAGGCTTTGGTCTTAACCTGGAAAGGTGTCTGCATGACAGAGAGCAGCTCATGAAACACTTCACAGCAAGATAGAAAAGTCCAATAAAAGTGCCTGTTTCAGCATGTTCTCGCTTCGTGGTGAGACCTGCCCATAAATTCTATGTAGTTATTTTTTCCTTTTTTCGTTCAGGTCCCAGGAAAGCTCACTTGTTGGCATAGGACAGGGACTTTTTGTGTCAGTTTTAATTCATTTTAGTTCATGGATCTGTGTGCATCTATACATTTTTTAAATTTTTTGCTGCATTTCTAAACTGGCAGCAAAGAAGACAGAATAGTCTTCCAAGCCTTTAATGTGGGAGGCATTTTAATACAGTAACTTAGTGTAATGTTGCTATAATTGCTTCTACAAAATGGTTCTCAGCCTGTCTTCACCCACTAAGTCTGAAGCAGTTTTTGAAGAGCATAAATAGTACTTGTGTTTTATAAGTGCAGAACTTGGCAAAGCTGAAGGAACTGTACAATAGAAAAATCATTTTGTGGAAGAATTAAACAGACTTCAGGTCTAGTTATCTACCACAGGAAAATACCTGATTCTAAGCCAATGAAACAATCGCAGCTCCCATCACTAAGTCTGCATTCACACAATCTTTTACGATGTGCATCTTAGAATAATTGAGAACTTGAAATCAAGGCAGGAAATTTTTTAATGAGAGAAACGCACAATTAAATTTCATTTGGAAACTTGCAACACAGTTTATCCGAGTTGACAGGAGCTGAATAGAGCTGTTTGTGTAATCCCAGCAGGGAATTCAAATGGCCTGATTTAATCAGAGCAAACAGAACTTTTCCTGGGAGTATCTCTGGGGGAAGTTTCTCCCTCTGCGCTCACAGGTTTCGTTGGCTTGCAGCGCCCGTGGCCGTTCGCAGCCTGCAGGACCTGGCTCGCATCGCCATCCGAGGCACCCTGAAGAAACTCATCCACGAGGAGGCCCTGAGCGGAGCTGGGAACGGCCTGAGGAGCCCGCCCAGGTTCAAGCGGAGGCGGCTGCGGCGCCGGCGCATGGAGACCATCGTGTTCCTGGACAAGGAGGTGTTCGCCAGCCGCATCTCCAGCCCCTCGGACGACAACAACAACAGCGAGGACATGGAGGACGAGAGGCTGGAGGAGGAGGACTCCAAACCCTCTGAACTAAAGCCAGACCCTCCCGTGAACTTTTTGAGAGAAAAGGTCTTGAGCCTGCCGTTGCCCGATCCCTTGAAGTATTACTTGCTTTATTACAGAGAAAAGTAGTTTTTCTTCTTTTAGAAAGTGGGAAGTAGGCAGAGAATAAAGTATTCCTTAGGGCTTGACAAACATGTCCCACTTGCTTGCCTGCCAATGTGACACCCGAGGCAGTAGGCTGGCTGGGGAATGTGGCTGCTGTAAACTTTGACATTATAGCTTTTTTGAGTTCTTTCTTTCTTCTCAGTTGTATGCTATAGTTTTATTCTACAGCAGGGATTCCTTAGGAAGCAAGTTGGTGAAGTGCTCAGCTGCTTATGGAAAGGAGGATTTAATTCCCTCAAAACTAACTGCAGGAGATATTCCTAAAAATCTCATGGCTGCTCTACCGAATATCAGTTGGGGAAAAAACTCCTGAGTAGCTCCCCAAAGACCCTTCCTGTCTGTGCTCTCTCCCACTAAACCTGCCAGGTATTTGCCGTGGTGTGTGTTTAATGGAGGATGAAGATAATTAGTTAAAACCTGACCTGGCAAATCATGTTTCTTCCAGTAATCTGAAAAGCACAACTTTCACAGAAAGGAAGGAATTTTTTGCATTACCCTTGTGGCATCCAGGTTTTGAATGAGAAGGAATCAGCTCCCCTTTGGTTGGTCTGCTTTGCTTGTAAATTATATATAAATTTTCACTAAAAATGTTTTAAAAAATATTGGGTTTTTTTAATGGAAAACCCCTGTTCTAGAGAATGAGTTGTTAGGTTTCTGTGGTTCTTTCAAAGCTATGGAGGCAAGTGAGGAATTGCAAAGCTGTTTAACTTTGACAGGATGCAAGGTAGTCAGGGTTGGGACTGCTGTCTCTGAAAATGTTTACAGAGTAATTCTGAGTGGGGAAAAGGGTAGAGAAAAGCTGCAATGCAGTGAGTTTGTGCAAGCTGAAAGCAGTATCTGTGGGTTTTGCTGTCATGTGAGATAGCTCAGATCATCTGGGCTGAGCAGAGTGAGGTGCAGAGCACCAGCCTGAGCAGTAAATCAGCCAAACAGAGTTTTGTGGAGGGTCTGCAGGACCTGAGAGCAGCCTAGAGAGCCAAACTGATGCGGTTCTCCGGTGTTCCTCTGTGTGTGCCCCTGCTGTGGCAAAGTGGCCAGAACACAACTTGTTCACAAGTGTTCCGCAATGGAGTGGAGCTGCTCAGCTGGGTAGGTGATTTTATTCCTTCAGCAACAAAGCAGAAATTTTAACAGGTTCATATGGAAAGACTTGTCACTCTGCAGTTCTGTGGATGTGAGCTGTAATTTTTATTTCCAAAACTCTCTGTCCTGGTGATGGAAGGGGATGCTGTGGAATCATAGGATCACAGAATAGTTGGGTTGGAAGGGACCTTCAAGACCATCTTGTTCCAACCCACTGCCATGTACAGGGGCACCTTCCACTAGGCCAGGTTGCTCCCAGCCCCATCCAGCCTGGCCTTGGGCAGTTCCAGCAATGGGGAGTCCACAATGTCTGTGGATGATAAAATACTGTGTTTAGAAAGGTTTACTTGGTTCAGCCTGTTTGGGAAATGTACCTGAACTGGTAAAGGCTGGAAAGAAAACCTGGAGTTTGTGTTGATGTGAAATAGTTCTAAAGCTGGGGGGAATGAAAAGCTCTCTTTCAGCAGGTAATGAATTTGTGTTAAGGCATTGCCCCATCAGAAGCACTTGAGTTGGTATCACTTTGATATCTTTTGTTTTTTTCAATGTGTACTGTCTCCTCATTTTCTGAGGAGGAATGAGTGAAGACTGTATTGCCAAATGGTCCTGAGTTGCACAACTTGCTTCATGAAAAATAGTTTCAAAGTTCTGTGTGGCTTTGAAAATAAATGAATAACATGTATGTCTAAGCCTGAAGTGGAGAACTTTTCCTTGCTTAACAGGACTTTTGTGTCTCTTTGGGAATATTGTCTGATAATCCTGTATCATGTGGCTGCTGGCATGTAACAGTCATAGGATGGGTTTTGCCTCTGGTTTCCTGTCTCCATGTCTGGTCTCAATGGTACCCCAAGTTGTCTTGCTCCCTTGGATTTTGATTTCTTTATTTGCAGTGGGGCAGTTCTGTGGCCACTGAGCTGATGTTTCCTGTAAAGGTGCACGTCCCCGTCACTGGGTTCTGGCAACTCCCATCAATTTCTTTCTACAAATGCAAGTCCTGAATGTGGTGATAACTAGAGGGATTAATAGAGGGATTAATACTAGAGATTAATAGAATCTGTGTGTAATTATTCTCAGTGCTTCCCTACATGCTGTGGCCTGTTATTTGTTGGAAAAGTCTGTTTAATGGGTGTCATGTCAGGTATGTGCCTTTCTGGATTGTGGCACAATTTCCACACCACTCCATAGTCCAGGGTGCCTCCTGCTTTTTGGCTACCAGGTCATCCTTCGGATGTGAGCTGTAATTTTTATTTCCAAAACTCTCTGTCCTGGTGATGGAAGGGGATGCTGTGGAATCATAGGATCAGAATGGTTGGGTTGGAAGGGACCTTCAAGACCATCTTGTTCCAACCCACTGCCATGTACAGGGGCACCTTCCACTAGGCCAGGTTGCTCCCAGCCCCATCCAGCCTGGCCTTGGGCAGTTCCAGCAATGGGGAGTCCACAATGTCTGTGGATGATAAAATACTGTGTTTAGAAAGGTTTACTTGGTTCAGCCTGTTTGGGAAATGTACCTGAACTGGTAAAGGCTGGAAAGAAAACCTGGAGTTTGTGTTGATGTGAAATAGTTCTAAAGCTGGGGGGAATGAAAAGCTCTCTTTCAGCAGGTAATGAATTTGTGTTAAGGCATTGCCCCATCAGAAGCACTTGAGTTGGTATCACTTTGATATCTTTTGTTTTTTTTTTAATGTGTACTGTCTCCTCTTTTTCTGAGGAGGAATGAGTGAAGACTGTATTGCCAAATGGTCCTGAGTTGCACAACTTGCTTCATGAAAAATAGTTTCAAAGTTCTGTGTGGCTTTGAAAATAAATGAATAACATGTATGTCTAAGCCTGAAGTGGAGAACTTTTCCTTGCTTAACAGGACTTTTGTGTCTCTTTGGGAATATTGTCTGATAATCCTGTATCATGTGGCTGCTGGCATGTAACAGTCATAGGATGGGTTTTGCCTCTGGTTTCCTGTCTCCATGTCTGGTCTCAATGGTACCCCAAGTTGTCTTGCTCCCTTGGATTTTGATTTCTTTATTTGCAGTGGGGCAGTTCTGTGGCCACTGAGCTGATGTTTCCTGTAAAGGTGCACGTCCCCGTCACTGGGTTCTGGCAACTCCCATCAATTTCTTTCTACAAATGCAAGTCCTGAATGTGGTGATAACTAGAGGGATTAATAGAGGGATTAATACTAGAGATTAATAGAATCTGTGTGTAATTATTCTCAGTGCTTCCCTACATGCTGTGGCCTGTTATTTGTTGGAAAAGTCTGTTTAATGGGTGTCATGTCAGGTATGTGCCTTTCTGGATTGTGGCACAATTTCCACACCACTCCATAGTCCAGGGTGCCTCCTGCTTTTTGGCTACCAGGTCATCCTTCAGTTTAATCACAGCACTTTTAAAGAAATCCCTTTAAAAATGACATTAAACTTCAGGTTCCTGTTAGTGAGCCTTGCAGAGATTCTGTTAAAGCTGACCAGTTGAGGGAGGATTATCTTTAATTTATCCCTTGTTTGGTTATTATCCCCATCCCAACCCCAGCTGTAAAAGGTATTTTATCAGATTTTTCACCAGATTTGCCTTTTTTTATTACATTTGCTAGATTTTTGTAGCTTTCTATAAGATGCATAAATACTGCTATTTTTTCCTGGATAAGGTTGAATAAATAAATAAATAAATATATATATATACAGGAAATTTATGTTCTAGGTTGTCAAATTGTCCTCTTGTCCAAAAAACCCCCACAGATCTAAACAGATAGTAGAAATTCTATGTACAGTATAACTGTGAAATAGTATTGCTTATAGCCTGTAAATAAAGGGGAGTTGTAAATACATTTTCCCTGTGCACAAGCACTTGCACTGTAGTTTTGTAGGCATTTCTAGCAGAGGGATGGAGGCAGAGCTGGGTTTGGATCTGTGAGCTGTCCAGGAATTCTACCTGCTTTGTTTCCTTCTGTGTTCTCAGCAGTTGTCACTTTTTTTTGCATGTGACTCCTTTTAGGTTTCAATCCTGCAGCAAATTTGCAAAGAGAGCTGAACTTCAAGCTGCTCTAGTCACGAGTGTGTAAGCTGAAAAATCTGTATAGAAACTAGGGTTCAGTTGGTCTGAGGCATGCAGAAGTGTTATGCAATTTCAACTTCGTTAATAAGTGTTTATCAATAAATTTAGTAAAGGCTTTTTAGCCTTCTTAACATGGCTTTGTTGTGATTAGAACACTTTGTAGGTGAGTGCTTATTTCCATAATTGGAGGTCAAGACAAAAACAGCAGAAAAAATGCTTAACAATATGGTGCAGGTGCATAGTTTTAGATGAACTCCTCAGAATGTGTTCTCTCAAACCTGTCCAGATATAGAGTTCCAAACCTTGAGGTAATGCAGCTGTGCAGGATGAATTTTGGGATCAGCACACACAGCACTGATGTAGATTTAATGTGTCAGAGTGCTTAAAGAGTGGGCTTAGTTCCCTGGCTGTTTGACCTGTAAATAACACCTACCAAAAGGTGATTTCATCCATTTCTGTACTTCAAGGAGTTGCCTGAACCAGCATGTCAGGAGTTTGTTCTGTGCATTTTGAATTGCAGCTCCCCTCTTGTCCCCTGGGCTCTGTCTGAGTGTTTAATCAACATGGATTTTTAAGAGCGGGTGTTCAAGGCTTTCATTTCTCCAGTAGTGAGAACAATATTTTGGTTTCAGCTGTGCTAGGAATCTGATCATAATAGCAAATACAGCTGCTGCTAATTAAATGAATCTGTTAACCTTTATTCCATAGGATAATTGCCTGTCTGTGTGTTTCTTCCTGTCATCTGTGTGTATGATAAATGTCCTTTTCCTAGCTATAACAGGAGATTAGTTCAACGTTAATGTTTTCCTTCACGTGGTGTGTGCTGAAAGAAAATCCTTTTCTGCTTTGGAAAGCCGTGGATGTGTCATACAAATGGTATTGAGGAAATTAAACTTGTCAGATGATGTTTATGTTCACTTCATTGTAAAACAGAACATCACAGTTCCCTGGGGTATAGAGGGGGCAGGTGCCCTGAGGGAAATCTTTCTGCTGAAGAAAAAGGGACAGAAGGGAGAGTTAAAAATAAAAAAACCAAAGGGTGAAGGGGAAAAAAAACCACCTGAGGGAACCCCCCCAACTTTCTTGCTTTCTACAGGTATGAAAACCCTGTGTAGCAGAGGCTGGAAATGCTGGAGCATGGGACACAAAGGTTGACATCATTCCTGGTGTTCAGGAGACAAGTTTTGGTTCTTTCTCAGAGATGCACACTCATTTTTAAAGAATTTGTCATGTTGATGGAAAATAAGACAAATTAATATGAGAGTAAGGGGCCTGGAGTTGCTGGTGTTCCTTAACCCTCACCAACATTCCATTTATCGTGAGGGAGATGAGCAAGGCAGGAGAGAAGCGGCGAAGATCTGCTGCTCAGAAAATGTGTGGGTTGCAGAACTTGCCTTGCACTGAAACGATTCCCCATGCTCTGTTAACTCTGCTGGCTTGGCTCAAGATCCCATTCCTACAGAGCAGTGGGTAAATGCCCCTCAATCCATCCCAAAGCTGCTCCCCCACAGCACAGCTGGACTTGAAATGCAGTTCCACAGGACTCATCCCACAGAAATGGGACTGAGCCTTGGCCCAGCTCTCCTCTTTGCAATACAAATAAAAAGGGATTGTTGTTGTTGCAGAGGGTTGGTTTAGAACTCAGAGTTTATGCACCACCGAGGCAGAAAGCAAAGCCTCATATTTGCAAAGTGGCCAGGTGTGCCAGGGGAAAGGATGGCTCCAAAATAACTGACACGTGGTTTGGAGAGAGCGTTTTTATCTTCCAAGCTTTGCAGAACTGCTCCTGCCAGCTGTGCTACCCTAGCAGAGTCCAGTGGGCTTTGGGAGGAGCTGATGTGGGAGCAGTGAGGCTGGAAGGACAGAGAACTTCAGTCAGGAGCATTTTCACATAACATGCGTTGCCTGATGCACACGGAGGATGTGCTTCTACAGCACTCAATGCCTCGGGAATTAAAAGCTGTCCTATTCATCAGAGCAGGTTTCAGCTGCCACTTGTATGAAGGCTGAATTTGGCTTTTTACAACCCGTTTTTGTGAGCAGGGTTGGCCTGGGTTGGTTGTATGAAGGCTGAAGATGATCATTTGGCTTTTTACAACCCGTTTTTGTGAGCAGGGTTGGCCTGGGTTGGGTTGGGTAGCCACTAGAGGACACTCTGCCCAAAACCATGAGTTCAGTGAGCTTGCTGAGCTTTCCAAGTGATGGCAGGGCAAACAGCCAGCCGATTGCCTGAGGGCTGACTGAAGAAGGCCTCCAGGATAATTCTCTTTTATAGCTGTACAAACGAATACATGTTTTACCTTCCATGGCATTAAATTTTAGGTGAAACCCCAAACCCAAGGCTCTCCCCAAATGCTCAAGTGACTGAGAATCTGAACCAGGAAAGTTTAAATGTCACTCTTGTCTTCTTTGCCACATTAATTATTTTGTAGTGCAGAGTACAAAGCAGATGTGCAGGTTGATGGGAAGCTTTCATTTGACCTGCCAGGTTATGTGGGATGGTGCTGTATGAGAAATTCCTCAACATAAATCCTAATGTGTGTTAATGCCTCCCTTGTGCTCAACCCATACATTTAGGATATTGTGTAGTGATAGCTTGAAACCTAAAGATAAGCTGTTTTTACTGTAGCTTCTTCATAAAGGTGGTTAATTCAACTGGAAACAAATCCTGCCTTTTGCATCTCAAATTTATCTTCCAGTGGGGAGAAACAAATGGAGGATTACATTCCCTACAGTTCAAACTCAGCTGATTTCATATTTTTTACTCCTCTTCACCCCTCACTTGCCTTGAATTTCTCAAAAACATTTTTCTAATTGACGTCCTTGTTGAAAGAAATTATACTTGGTCAAACTATAAATGAACCAGCTTTTGCTCTGCCTGAGAAACTTTACAGACTCCTGGGTGGGGTTTTGTCTTTATTTGCAGGTTATTTATCTCTGTTAGTGATCTCCCTTTTAAAATCCCTTATCTGTTACATCCCATGCCCACTCAATGGTTGGAGGCATATTTTTGCTCAATGTTGTAATTACATGTAATAGGAGACAGCCTCTATCCTGAAAATCTTACAGCACCATGCATTTGACAGGCTGTTAGATAAATCTCTCTCTTTAGTTTGCAGACTGTGCTAGGGAAAAAAAAAAAAAAAAAAAAAAAAATTGACATAAAAACCTTGGCCCTGGATCTTTTGCATCCCAGCTCAGCCCTGGACCACGAGGTCATTTTTTGGTTGCTGTCCATGGAGGTGCACTGTGCTTTCAGACAAATGCCTGAGGAGAAGGTGAGGAGTTAACTTGCTGTTTAAAAGAAGCAACAAGGCGAAAATAGATCCAAAGGAAGAGTTTGTATTTCAGCGCCACAATTAGAGAGGGGTGGGGACAGTGTGATCTCCAGTGATGTGCAGAATGGCAGAGAGGGTGGGCGGTTGGACTGTCAAACTGCCTTAATTTAATTGCAAACACATGCTGATGAGTCCCCTCCTCCTGGACCTCAGGGCTGGGAAACTTTTTTTGTCAGCTCCCTGCAGCTCAGAATTGAGGCAAATACGCTCCAGCAAACACCATGCTGATCAAACCTTCAGTTCTTGGAGGCTTTTTGTATTTTCTCCTCCTGCCTGGTTTCTCCTGCTCCTGCCCCAGCCGCTGCCTGTGCTTCAGGACTACAGTGAGATGCATGCATCTGATGTTGGAAACCATCCCCGAGATCCCGCCCCAGACAAACATTCTGTGAGTAACCACTTCATTTTCCTGCCTTTCTTACCTGCGTGGTCTTTAGAAAAAAAAAAAGGCAAAAAGGCCAAAGGCATACTTTATATCTTCTTTCCCCCCCACAGAATTATCAGCCTCAGGAACTGTTTTGTGCTTTTAAAACATGAAACAGAAACTGCTGCTTCTGGCATCAGTTAATTGCTGATGGGACAATCAAGGGAATTGCAAAATTTAATGAGAGTAATTCCAAGCAAGAACTGGAAGACAGTTTTGGGGAATCAAAGGTCAGAAATGTTAAACTGAGCTTATGGAAAGGAACAGTTTGCATTTTAGAAGGCTTTGTGTATGGGTGTAGAGGAGAGAGGAAATAGAGCAGCTCAGGCTTTTGTCTCCAGTGACACGAACACTTTCCTTATATATACAACACCATTTCAGTACTGAATTTCTAAGTACTGTTTTTCCACTTTCTACTTGAACTGTTCAAACCAAAGTTGAGGCTTATTTGGAAAGTAACAGCTGTGGTAACTCACAGAACTACTTGAGAAATAAGAAGGTGAGGGAGCTGGTGGCTGAATCCATTCAGACAGGAGAGGTGGAGGAAAAGGACATTGAATTCTTGGAGACTCCTGAAGAGCTCTTACTGATAGGTGCAGAAGAGCACTTCCCTGTGATTCTAAACTAATCCTAAATTTAAAGGTGGCTTTAAGATGCAGTGACACTTGACAAAATCCTTCCCTTCGTGCTACTCTTATCTGATCCCTTGTCTTGGATGACCTTTTCTTGTAAGTAGTTGGAAAGACTTGTCAAAAATTAATCTTCATGCTCATCCTCCTTAAATTGCTGCCTGTTGCAAAACCTTTCCAACACGAGTTTGAGCAGCTTTTCCCTTTGCTTATAACAAGCTCACTTTTACCTCAGCTGGCACATCCATAGCAGCATTTCTCCCATGAACATCTCACTGATATTGCTAATGCACTTTCTCTGCTGGCAGCCAGAGGAACATGCTGTGGGCAGGATGCTGGCATTGGACTGCTGCCATCCAGGTCTGCTTTGGTGGGTGGAGACCACAGAGGTTCTTGCATTGGTGGCCCACAGGATGAGATCTACCCTTGCTACAGCTGCCAAAGCTTTCTCACTGCCTGGGCTGGTGCTGGAATGATTATTTGCAGTGTGACCCTGCTCAGTACTTGCTCACTGGGCAGTGCTTATGCGCCCTTACAGTGACTTGCAGCATCTGATTCTTCACACTCTTACCAACCTTTTTCTCCTCCTTATTCCCCTGCATCTTGAAATATTAAAATATTTATAATACCCTGTCACTGATTTTAGCAAAGTAACTTGTTCTTCCTAGTTTAAACCTAGATTTTATTCAGGGAAAGGTTTGTTTCATTGGCTGAACTGAGGTATTTCTGAGATCATTGAAGCTCAATTCCTGTTCTCTGTTTGAAATGAGGCAACGTTTGCTGTTACAGTGAAGCCTGAGTGAGTTTCTGCTAGAGATCCTTCAAGTGCAGAGGGAGGGAAGTTTACTGTGTCACCAACTCTTTCCCAGTTCTGGAATGGTGTGCTCCCTCTGGCAGCAGCACACTTCATTTTCTGCACCACCTTGAATGGGAAACTGGCTTTTAAAACATTAAAGTAGTATAGGTGTGAGATACAAAAATTGCAATGTTGCAGAGGACGATGACTCTTCATGAACCAGTACTTTTTAAGGTGATTTATCCATTTTATTCTCTTTTACTACTATCTGCATAATTATAAGCAAACCACATATTGTTGATCATAAAGACAGATGAGCCTGGTGAGTGCTCTCTGTTGGCAGATCATGGGCCTTTGTGTGGCAAGGAAAAATCCTGACTGTCTGGCTATCTTGAAGATCTAATGTATGCAAATGCATTTCCCAGCCAGCATCCCATTTGTATCTGTTATAAATAGCATTTCAGTAATTAAACTTTTTTTGAATTGTGGAAGATCAAGGAATGCTTCTTAACCAAGCCCTGACTCCTCCAGCTTTTTGGTATGTTAGTGTTTCTCCTGGGAGAATCCTTGTGTCAGACTGCGCAGTTGGAATTATAGCAAGAATAGTCTTGATCACGGAGTTATTCTGAGCAGAAAATGTGGGATTGGGATATTTTCCACAGTTAATCTTTGGTGTGAACAGGGCTGAGTCTGTGACTGCAGCTCCAAACACCGATCCCAG